TAACTGATCATGCAAAACAAGGGCTTTGAAATTGCTCAGTATCTGAAAAACAAAATGGAAAGTTGAGGTTTTGTTGGGAATCGCTCAAGTGTTTAGACATGGGAGAATAGTTGACATACTCTAAACTCCCAACCACTAGGATTTTGGATCTGGGCACAAGCCATGATGCTCTTGAGTCCATACACTAGCTAGGTATACAAAACGAATGAGCTTTAGTTAACCGAACCTAAGAGAAAAAACAGGTTGTTGTTTGGTGGGGAATCGCTCAAGAACTTGGACATGCCACAACGCTTGAGTTACCAAAACATCCCACACACCTCGGTTTAGCACAAGCCAGCATGCTCTTGAGCCCATACACTAACCATGCATGCAAAAAGGAAGATGTTTGAGCATGCTCAATAGCAAGATAACCAAGTCGAGGTCTCGTAGGAATATTCTCAAGTACTGGAAAAAGGAACACATACGATATTAGAATTTTTTGCACTCTTAGGTTTTGGATCTGAGCACAAGCCAGGATTATCTAGAGCCCATGCACTAACTGATCATGCAAAACAAGGGCTTAGAAATTGCTCAGTATCTAAAAAACAAAATGGAAAGTTGAGGTTTTGTTGGGAAACGCTCAAGTGTTTAGACATGGGACAACAGTTGACATACTCTAAATTTCCAACCACTAGGATTTTGGATGTGGGCACAAGCCATGATTCTCTTGAGGCCATACACTAGCTATGTATGCAAAAGGAAATAGTTTTAGTGGACAAAGCACGTAAGTGATAAAAAACAGGTTGTTGTTTCGTGCGGTACCACTCAAGAACTTGGCCATGCGACAACGCTTGAGATACCAAAACTTCCCACACACCTGGGTTTTGAATCCGAGCACAAGCCAGCATGCTCTTGAGCCCATACACTAACCATGCATGCAAAAAGGAAGATGTTTGAGCACGCTCAATAGCAAGATTACCAAGTCGAGGTCTCGTAGGAAAATGCTCAAGTACTGGAAAAAGGAACACATACGATACCAGAATTGTTTGCACTCTTAGGTTTCCGATCTGAGCACAAGCCAGGATTATCTAGAGCCCATGCACTAATTGATCATGCAAAACAAGGGCTTAGAAATTGCTCAGTATCTAAAAAACAAAATGGAAAGTTGAGGTTTTGTTGGGAAACGCTCAAGTGTTTAGATATGGAACAACAGTTGACATAATCTAAATTTCCAACCACTAGATTTTTGGATGTGGGCACAAGCCATGATGCTCTTGAGGCCATACACTAGCTATGTGTGCAAAAGGAAATAGTTTTAGTGAACAAAGCACGTAAGTGAAAAAAACAGGTTGTTGTTTCGTGGGGTACCACTCAAGAACTTGGCCATGCGACAACGCTTGAGATACCAAAACTTCCCACACACCTCGGTTTGAATCCGAGCACAAGCCAGCATGCTCTTGAGCCCATACACTAACCATGCATGCAAAACGTAAGACGTTTGAGCACGCTCAATAGCAAGGTAACCAAGTCGAGGTCTCGTAGGAATATACTCAAGTACTGGAAAAAGGAACACATACGATACCTGAATTTTTTTGCACTCTTAGGTTTTGGATCTGAGCACAAGCCATGATTATCTAGAGTTCCTGCACTAGCTGATCATGCAAAACAAGGGCTTAGAAATTTCTCAGTATCTGAAAAACAAAATAGAAAGTTGAGGTTTTGTTGGGAAACGCTCAAGTGTTTAGACATGGAACAACAGTCGACATACTCTAACTTCCCAACCACTAGGATTTTGGATTTGGGCACAAGCCATGATGCTCTTGAGGCCATACATCAGCTATGTATGCAAAAGGAATGAGTTTTAGTGAACAAAGAACCAGCTTGCCCTACGCCCCTTTTTTTTTGCATGGCTGGTTAGTGCATGGTCTCTAGAGCATGCAGCTTGACCCTCAGGTCCCAAATCCCAATGGGTTGGGAGCTATGGCGTTTCAACTTTTGCCCCAGGTACGAGTTTGGTGAGCATTTTCCCATAAGCGCACATGCTCTTCCTACCTTTGTCGCACCTATTCAGCATGCCGTAAGCCCTTTTTTTTTTCATGGTTGATTTGTGCATGGGCTCTAGAGCATGCAGCTTGACCCTCAGATCCAAAATCCACAGGGTTTGGGAGCTATGCCATTTCAACTTTTGCCCCAAGTACGAGTTTTGTGAGCATTTTCAGCTAGACTGGTCATATCATTTGAGGAAGGATATTGAATCCTCAGCGTGCACGCCCTCGTTTTCAGCTAGACCGATGACTTTCTTTTAGGAAGGATATGAATCCATGGCATGCAGGCCCTCGTTTTCAGCTAGACCGGGCACTTCGTTTTAGGAAGGACATGAATCCCTGGCGTGCACGCCCTGGTTTTCAGCTAGACTGGTCACTTCGTTTTAAGAATGATGTGAATTCCTAGCATGCATGCCCTCGTTTTCAGCTAGACCGGTCACTTCGATTTAGGAAGGATATAAATCCCTGGTGTGCAGGCCCTCTTTTTCAGGTAGACCGGTCACTTCGTTTTAGGAAGGATATGAATCCTTGGCGTGCAGGCCCTCGTTTTTAGCTAGACCGGTCACTTGCTTTTAGGAAGGATATGAATCCATGGCATGCAGGCCCTCGTTTTCATCTAGAACGTCACTTCGTTTTAGGAAGGATATGAATACTTGGTGTGCAGGCCCTCGTTTTCAGCTAGACCGGTCACTTCCTTTTAGCAATTATATGAATCCCTGGCGCGCAGGCCCTCGTTTTGAGTAGACCGGTTACTTCCTTTTAGGAGGGTTGAGACTATTCACAACCTATCAATGCCATTAGAATGGACCTGCGAAGCAGTTTCCCAGAAAATGTCACTCATGATGCGTTGTGGTCCGCGGGTACATAAGGTGCATGGGGGTGTATCAGGGTGCATGGGGTGCATGGGGATGCATGGGTGTGCGTGGGGTGCATTGGGAGCATTGGGATGCATGGGGGTGCCTGTGGATGCATGGGGTGCATGGGGTTGCATGGGGGTGCATGGTGTGCATGGGGTGCTTGGGGTGCATGGGGTCGCATGGGGTGTACAGGGTGCATAGGGGTACATTGGGTGTGTGGGGGTGCATGTGGTTCTTGCGGGTGCATGGGGGTGCATGTAAGTGTGTGTCATGCATGAGGTACACGGGGATGCATAGAGTTGAAAGGCATGCATGGGGTGCATGGGGGTGCATGGGGGTGCATGGGGGGCATGGAGGTGCATGGGGATGCATTGGAGTGCATGGTGATGTATGTTTTGGACGGGGGTGTGTGGGGGTGGATGGGGGTGCATGGAGTGCATGGGGGTGCATGGGGTGCATGGGGTGCATGGGGTGCATGGGCGTGTCTAGGGGTGCATGGGGTACATGGGGGTGCATGGGGTGCATGGGGGTGCACGGTGTGCATGGGTTGCATGGGGTTCACAGGGTTGCTTGGAGGTGCTTGGGATGGCATGAGGGTGCAAGGGGCGCATCGGGGTGCATGGGGGTGCATGGGGTGCATGGGGTTGCATTGGGTTGCATGGGGTGCATGAGGTGCATAGGGTGCATGGAGTGCAAGGGTGTGCAGGGGGTGCATGGGAGTGCTTGGGAGTGTATGGGGGTGCATAGGGGTGCATGGGGGTGCATGGGGTGCATGGGGGTACGTGGGGGTGCATGGGGTGCATGCGGTGCACGCGGGTGCACCAGGTGGATGGGGTGCATGGGGATGCATGGGGTGCATGGGGGTTCATGGGTGGCATGGGGTGCATCGGGGTGCATGGGGGTGCATGGGGTACATGGGGGTGCATGGGGTGCATGGGGGTGCACGGTGTGCATAGGTTGCATGGGGTTCACAGGGTTGCTTGGACGTGCTTGGGAGGGCATGAGGGTGCAAGGGGCGCATGGGGGTGCATGGGGTGCATGGGGTTGCATACGGTTGCATGGGGTGCATGAGATGCATAGGGTGCATGGAGTGCAAGGGTGTGCAGGGGGTGCATGGGAGTGCTTGGGAGTGTATGGGGGTGCATAGGGGTGCATGGGGGTGCAAGGGGTGCATGGGGGTGCGTAGGGGTGCATGGGATGCATGCGGTGCACACGGGTGCACCAGGTGCATGGGGTGCATGGGGATGCATGGGGTGCATAGGGGTTTATGGGTGGCATTGGGTGCATCGGGGTGCATGGGGGTGCATCGGGCTGCTTGGTGGTGCTTGGGGGTGCAGGGGGTGCAAGAGGTGCATGGGGGTGCACGGGGTGTATGGGGGTGCATGAGGTGCATGGGGGGCATGGGGTGCATGGGGTTGCATGAGGGTGCATGTGGGTGCATGGGGTTGCATTGGGGTGTATGGGGTGCATGGGGTGGATGGGGTGCCTGGGGTGCATGGGGTGCATGGGGTGCATGGAGGTGCATAGGAGTGCTTGGGTTGCATGGGGGTGTATGGGGTGCATGGGGGTGCATATGGGTACGTGGGGTGCATGGGTTGCATAGGGGTGCATGGGGGAATACGGGGCTGCACGGGGGTTCAGAGGGTGTAACGCGTGCATGGGGTTCATGAGGGTGCATGGGGTGCATAGGGGTGCAGGGTAATAAAAATCATGAGTCTGATGTAAATTGGAAAAATAACATGAAAATCAGGGCTGTCAGGGTATTTCACCCGTTTTAATTTGGGGTCTGTTCGGGGCGCCTCGGGACTGGGAAGTGTTCGGACGACTCCACGTGTAGATTTGGGGGTCGGGGCCTGAGTTCTCGGGCTGAGCCTGGGCTTCCGAAGTTCAGGGTGTACGCGGCGTAGCAAGGATTCACACAGGAAATGTAATTTCCTTATGTCAAGCCAAGGTAGTTTTTGTGAACATGAAAAGAACACCAGTTTGTTGAGATAGTAACAAGTTTAGCGAAACTCGCAAAAGTGTCGTGACAACTCGAAATTTCCAAACCCAAAAAATGTTCCACTGGTCCAGGAGGGACACCAGCGTGTTCGTCTCGAGGTTTGCGAAAGCAGATGACGAAGACGTGTTCGAAAAAAACTCATGTTGATAAAGACGTTCCACGCCCTAACCCCTTGATCATATCCGTCCAGTGTTGCTTCTATCGGGGTGAGCCATCAGAATTTGGACGATCAGCAGATTGTCTGATCGTAGGGCGTTGCTCGTGACCTCTTTAACGGTGGATCGCCGCACACCACCGTGAGCATGCGTCCCTCGCGGCCCTGCGGCCACGTGCCGACCCTCATGCGTGCGTTGGCCAGGGCGTACCAGAGCCACTCGCCGCTTCCCGCGTCGGCGTCCGCGTTCGAACGCCTCGTGCCAGCCCTCTCCGGTTCCGCTCCTTGCCATCCACCCTCTCACCCGCTCGCTTTCCCATTCGCTCGCCCCGCTCGCCTCTCGCCCGCTCGGCCCGCTCGGCCCGCTCGTCCCCCTTTCTTTCGCTTCTACTCGCCTGCCCCCACTCCTCTCCCGCTGCCCGCCGTTATCCGCCACCCCCCTGCCCGCCACCTCTCCACCGAGGGGCTTGCGGGCGGCAGCACGCCCAGCGAGCAGACAGGGGGTGCAGAGGAGCTGGGGCTGGGGAGAGGAGCGAGGGGCGCAGGGTGCGGGGCAGGAGGGGGAGGGCGGAGGTGGGGGCGAGGGAGTGCGGCGGAGGAGGAGTGGCGGCGTGCGGCGGAGGAGGCGCGGGAGCGGCTGCTGCTGGCGTACGCGGACATGGAGAACCTCCGCCAGCGCGCCAAGCGGGACGTCGACGCAGCCAGGCTCTTCGCCGTGCAGGTGACGCCCGTGCAGGTGACGCCCGTGCAGGTGACGCCCGTGCAGGTGACGCCCGTGCAGGTGACGCCTGTGCAGGTGACGCCCGTGCAAGTGACGCCCGTGCAGGTGACGCCTGTGCAGGTGACGCCCGTACAGGTGACGCCCGTGCAGGTGACGCCGTGCAGGTGACGCCCGTGCAGGTGACGCCTGTGCAGGTGACGCCTGTGCAGGTGACGCCCCGAGCAGGTGACGCCCGTGCAAGTGACGCCCGTGCAGGTGACGCCCGTGCAGGTGACGCCCGTGCAGGTGGTTTGCTCACAGCACGGGTGTGCAGGGGGTCAACCTGCATGATGCTGGTGGTAAATTGCTTGCTCTCTTCTTCGTTCTCATGCTTACATGCCTTTGGCTGCTCTCTTATGGTTGCTCGTCATCCCTCTAGTCTTAATGTCCTGCTTGTGTATGCGCTGCATTGCTGTTCTCTAAATCATACGCCTCCGAATCCGGGGTTGTTTCCTGCCATAATCATGGGCATGGGCATGGGCATGGGCATGGCATGGCACGGCACGGCTTGCACGAGCGTCAGGGGTTCGCCAAGGGTCTGGCGGACGTGGCGGACAATCTCCCCGGGCGGCTGCTTCTGTGTCGCTGCCACGCGCTCCGTCTCCCCTGCTGCCGCTCAAGAGGAGGGCAGTGGTGGGGCGGGCAGTGGGGGCGCGACCCAGAGGCGCTGCTCAAGGCGCTGCTGATGGCGTCGTGATGACAGAGAAGCAGCTGCTGCAGGTGAGGCAGAGAAGCAGCTGCTGCAGGTGATGCATGCGATTGTTTGCGCCTTCCCCTAAAGCTGCACGTGTGCCATGTGCCTGCATGGCGGCGTGGGTGCATTGGCATGTGTGTGTGGGCATTGTCATGTGTGTGGGCATTGTCATGTGTGTGTGGGCATTGCCATGTGTGCGGGCCACGGCAGGTGTTCCAGCAGCATGGCATGGAGCGCCACGACCCCCTGGGGCACGCATTTGACCCAACCTCCACAACGCCGTCTTTGAACTCGACGACCCCTCCAAGGAACCCGGCACCATTGCCCACGTGCTCAAGGTAAGATGAGACCATGGCCCATGCATCTGCCTCGGGTGCACGCATCTGCCTCCGGTGCATGCATCTGCCTCGGGTGCATGCATCTGCCTCGGGTGCATGCATCTGCCTCGGGTGCACGCATCTGCCTCGGGTGCACGCATCTGCCTCGGGTGCATACGTGTGCCTCTGCCGCATGTGAATATTCCAACC